CCACCAGGGCTCCTTAATACACCAAAGGGGAGAATATTCCATTTTTAGCTAAAAGGAAGGAAGAATATTCCATTTTTTCCCTTTAGGGCACTTTGAACATTATTATCTCTTTTAAAGATAAGGTAAATGAGAATAGAAGCTAGTCAATCACTCTAAATCACACTCCAGAACTGAACCAAAGCTAAAAATAAAAATCTCTGATCCCTAAATCCCCAGCAATTGTGTTGCTCACTGAACTATGAAGGGCTGCCTTCTAGAATTTAATCAGGTTTCTATTAAGGATCCACTAGCGGTGAAGACTTATTACCATCTTTCAGACAAGAGATCTTCTCAAGTTTGTAAGGAGGCTTTTCCGAGTTCACATTAATCCTTTTCACTCCACTTCTATAAAAAGTCCGAGTAAGAGTCCGGATCATTAGTCGTGTAGTTTGGTCTTTTTCGCAAAGATCTCTTTAGACATTCAAGCTGGGACCCAGGTATTCATTAAATTTAGTACTTGGGATTTTTGTGTGTTGCAGTAACTAAGCAACAGTTAAGATGTTTTAACTTAGCATGTCCTGCATTGGCAAGTTTAAAAAAAGAACTGTCAAGCCATACTTGGCAGAACCTCCCTCCAGCTCTCCCACCCTCTGTACAATTCCTGTACGTCTTGGCTGCTCATCCACTAACAGAGACCTCTTCTGTCTCAGCCAACGCTGACAGCCTTGTCCTAGCCTTTTACCACTGCAGGGCAGCTGGATACCCACAGCACCCTCAGTAACTGCTAACTGTGCAAAGGATCGGAACTAGCGGCTTGATCATCTGACACTTATATTATAACAAGTCTCACAGTATATCCTAAACCTACTCTTAAACTGCTGCACCTTTGAACAATATTCGCCTTTGTTTATGAAAATATAACTGTAGGTTCTAAATCAGCAGTTTAAGAACTGTGATTGCTCACCAAACTAAGATACGCTTTTCAAATATAAACAGTAGCTTTTTTCAGTGAATATCCAATGAAACTCATTAAATGAGATAAAATGTGTGAAAGATCTGCTACATAACATCTGTTAGGGATTGAATTGTGTCAATCCAATGTGTTGGAATCCTAACCCCTATCCAAAAACCAAACCTGTTGCCACCGAGTTGATTCCGATGCACAGCAACCCTACAGGGCAGAGAAGAACTGCCCCACAGGGTTTCCCAGAAGCGCCTGGTGGATTCGAACTGCCCACCTTTTGGTTAGCAGCAGTAGCACTTAACCACTACGCCACCAGTTTCCCTAACCCCTATACTTGTGGATATAATCCTGTTTGGAAATGGGGTTTTATTATGTCAATGAGGACATACCAAGGTAGGGTGTGTCTAATCACATCTGAGTTATAAAAACAGCAGGTTAGACACAGACACTCAAGCCCGTGTGCGTGCGTGCACGCGCGCACACACACACACACACACACACACACACACACACACACAGGAAGACTGATGCCATGTGAGGATTGCCAAGGAACCAAGGAATGCCCAATGCTACCGATAAGGAAGGAACTGACACAACCAGATCCAGATTTGGACTTCTGACCTCCAGAACTGTGAGAAGATTAATTTCTGTTCTTTAAAGCCACCCACTTGTAGTATTCTCACAACTGGACTAATAAGCAACATCATAATAAATGGAGAAAATATTGAGGTTGTAAAGGATTTCATTTTACTTGGATCCACAATCAACACCTGTGGAAGCGGCAGTCAAGAAATCAAACGATGCATTGCATTGGGCAAATCCATCGCAAAAGACCTCTTGGAAGTGTTCAAAAACAAAGATGTCACTTCAAGGATTAAGGTGCCCCTGAACCAAGCTGTGGTGTTTTCAATCGCCTCATATGCATGTGAAAGCTGGACAATGAATAAGGAAGACCGAAGAATTGATGCCCTTGAATTACAGCGTTGGTGAAGAACATTGAATATACCATGAACTGCCAAAAGAACAAATCTGTGTCGGAAGAAGTACAGCCAGAATGCTCATCAGAAGTGAGGATGGCGAGACTTCGTCTTACATACTTTGGACTTGTTATCAGGACGGACTAGTCCCTGGAGAAGGACATCATACTTGGTAGAGAAGAGGGTCAGTGAAAAAAGAGGAAGAAACTCAACAAGGTGGACTCACACAGTGACTGCAACAATGGGCTCAACCACAGCAACGATTGTGAGGATGGCACAAGACCAGGTAGTGTTTCATTCTGTTGTACACAGGGTCGCTGAGTTGGAACTGACTTGATGGCACCTAACAACGTGTGGTATTTGTGTTATGGTAGCACTAGGTAACTAAGACAACATCTAATAAATGTTTGGTGAATCTGACTTTAAGTACACGATTTGGGAAGCAGAACAACAGCGCTAAGACAACCACAATAGACATATGTAATATGGAGAACCCACACACACTCCACTGTTATAATCTTAGTTTTATCATCTATAAAATGGGGAGAAGAACTGTATTTACCCGAGGTTTGTTGTGAGGCCTAAATGAGATGCTGCATATAAACTGTTCAGTGCCATCTAGACTTCCGTCTCCTAAGCTGTCTCAAAGGCAGGGGTGTTCTAAACTGAATGAACTTAAGGTGGGTAAAGTATACGTAACAGCTCTCTTTTATTAGTTCCCACGGAATGAAGCTGGCTAAGAAGTAGGACAATACACGAAACTCCAACTCTCTAACATTTAACTAGTTGAGTGTTAACACTTTGAAACCTACTCAATGGTGTCGTTAAGACAACAGTATGTCTTGTGGAACTTGTGGATGTTTTGTGGAAGAGAAAAAGCGAGGGTCTAGACTGGTAATTAAGGAACCTCATGTAAACAGTGATGGATATCTGAGTAAAATATAACTTAGTGGACAAACCCTGAGTCTTGATGACAAAGAGCTGGCTCTACTTCTCTAGTGGCATAACCTTGGGAATTAATTTCTTTCAAACTGTTTCCTTACCAGTAAGAGGCTTTTTATCTGTCTACCTATCTTTAAGGAATGTTGGAATTAAGGTCATTAAATAAGGCCTAGCATAAAACATGGGCGTAGCAACATCTTAACAAAATGTCTCATTTCTACTGTTCCACTGTGATACTAACACTTTAAGTATGGGTCAGAGTCCTACATGGCTTGGGATTTCTACTCTACTTGTGAACCTGAGTATGATCTTAGCAAAGCTTAGCTAGGCCTCATAATCATCTACACTAGTAGTTTTTAAATTTTAAAAGCTGCAGAACTTTTTTTTTTAACCTCAACAATACATCAGAAGTAACATACATAAAGCGGGATAGTGAAACTGCTCTGGTGAAAGCAGGGGGAAGAGAGGTACTGAGCTCTACTGGCTTGGTCTCCCTCAGTCCCTGGAACCCAAGCTCTGCTGTACAGCATAGTACGAAAATAGTTCAATACATCCACATAAAAACTTGCCAAAGTGAGGTCTTAAAAGTGAGTGGCCATCGAAGATGCATCAATTGGTCCCGACTCACCTGGAGCAAAGGAGAATGGAGAACACCAAAGACACAAGGAACATATGAGCCCGAGACACAGAAAGCGCCACATAAACCAGAGACTTCATCAGCCTGAGACCAGAAGAACTAGATGGTGCCTGGCTACCACCAATGACCGCCCTGACAGGGAACCCAACAGAGTCCCTGATGGAGCAGGGGAAAAGTGGGGTGCAGAACTCAAATTCTAGTATGAAGACCAGATTTAATGGTCTGAGAATGGAGGGACCCCAGAAGACATGGCCCCTGAGCTGTTAACCCAAAACTAGAACCATTCCCGAAGCCAACTTTTCAAAGATTAGGCTGGACTATGGGACATAACATGATACTCATGAAGAGTGTGCTTCTTAGCTCAAGTAGGTACCGGGACTCAATGGGCAGCTCCTGTTCGGAAGTGAGATGAGAAGGCAGAGAGGATCAGGAGCTGGTTGAATGGACACAGGAAATCCAGGGTGGAAAGGAGTCTGCTGTCACATACAAGGAGAACAAGTAGGGTCACATAAGAATGTGTGTATAAATTTTTGTATGGGAGACTAACTTGAATTGTCAACTTTCACTTAAAGCACAATAAAAGAAATTTAAAAAAAAAAAAAAAAAAAACTTGCCCAAGTGAGAAAAGAATGTTTAACATGCTAGAGGAACAGTCTATGGGCTGGCCCAAATTCTCTTCTGGTACTGGAATTCTGTTGCATTGTCTTGCTTGAAAAAGTGAGCTAATAGTTAGGATTCTACTTTGGTTTAGAGATCCGTTGCAAAAGAATTGGTGCTAGAAGTACTAACATAGTGGTATAAAGATTCTGCCTGTGTCAGGTAGCCCAGGGAAGCAGGTGTTTGTCAAAGCAATGTCATCTCATGACAGAAAAACTGGTGCTGCTCTAAAAGTCATATTCAACTACCTCATAGGTCCATTTTAGGTGGGTACTTTTAGGGACTTTGGAATATCAAAAATAATTAAAAATTTTACAGTTGCATTTTGTCCAATTATGAGGCAAAAGGCAAAAATTTCTAAAGTAGAATGTACTACAAATTATTCACTCTTTCACAGCCCCATGCACAACTGGGGTTCTGAGAAAGGTTAACAAACCACCTGTGGAAAGGAAATGGGAAATTTGAGTTTAATAAACGTGGCCCTCACTGTATACACAGCAAGTAAGCCTAGAGTAGAACTATTTTTCATAAAAGAAAGCAGTGGTGGCAGTGGCAAAGGTGGATATGGAAGTCTCCCTAATGTATGTACAGATAATTAGGTTACAAAGACTAGCCTAGCCTTGGAGGAGAGGAAAATGTCATAATGGACATGTTGCTGAAAGAGGGTTTATGGAGAAAGGGCTGTTTCTAGGCAGCCTATTTAAAATGCCTTAGTCACTTGCACAGGACTGTCTCAGGCTTCTTTTCTTTTTTTAAAGCAACAAATTTGCTCTGACTTGCTCAGGGAAGCCCAGAATTAGCTCTAAAGAATAAAATACATGGAAAAAATGCAAAGCCATGAAAATACGTTTTTAAAAAAGTTTTCAGATAATAGTACACAAAAGCAAACAAGTTTATCTTTAAAAATATCAAGTATCACATCCATAGACTATTCCTAATTATAATTACTTCTTAAAGCAACATTTGTCTTTGTTTACAAATACAGCAGCAGGTGATAAAACCTAACATCTCAAACAGATTGCTTACAGTTCATAATACAAATGTATATGTCTCACATCACATTTTAGGCAGTTTAACTTAAAATGCATAGACAATTACATACATTAAACTTGTCATTAAAGTCAATGAAAAACCACAATTTCAAGAAAAAAATACAAAAAATCTTTACAGAGCACTCATAAGTCAAGTTTACTTAATGGCAACAAATCAGTATCTGCTAATCAGTGACAGGCAATGAAAGTGCCTTCATCTAGGGAAAGAGAGGAAAAACATCCCATGACTGTACATTTGAGTAGTTACACTGATAAGCACTACACTTTTGGAAAGAAAAAAAAATCAGTTTCTTTAAAAAAAAAAAAAAAAAAAAGGTATACTGGACTCTGCCCTTTAAAATGCCCAGAAGCTGATCTGTAACTTCCACTAACAATATTAAAATATGTTCATCTATATAAAACTACTAATGAATTCAGTAAAGCCACCTGTAGACCATGAGCCTCTCAAGGACAGGGATTGATCTTTCACTGCTGTATCTCTGATCTCTGGCATATGGCAAAGCACCTGGACCATGGACATTTAAATGTCTGTTGAATGAATGCAGTCCTCCCATGTTTTCTAAAGCCAGAATTTGCAAGGCATTTCTTTAACACTGATTATTGGCAATTTTTTACTTGGCAGGATTTTGCAAACAAAAAGAACAGTGTCTGTCTTCAATACTAAATATTGCTTTATTAAAATTAGTCTTCCCTGAAAACTACCCACCACTTTCTATGCACAGAACAGAATTATGTGATTCATCTGAACTTAGATTTATAATTTTCAAATACTTTAACATTTGGTCTGTCCTTAAGTTTAATTTCCAGGGTTTAAAACTGGCGTTTTATAAAGCCAGCTCTAGATTATTCAGGGTGAGAAAGGAAGACATTGGCACTAACTCATTTAAAAATGTAGGCAATTGATATGTAACTTAGGCACAGTATTTTGAGTACAGCTATGTTCATCTATACAAACAGCTTCAAAAACCGTACACTTGAGTACTACAGGTGGCACTAATTATCTGTGAGGTAAAACATCATGGCACAATTGACTTTTTTCCCTAGAAAATATTCCAATATTCTATTGCAGTGGTGTGACTCGCCAAGGCCAAAAATTCACCCCTTTTCTTCTCTGCCCAATTGTTATTCTTTACTAAAGACAAGAAACAGCAAAATGGACAAACAAAGGAGGAGGACCTTGATTTAAAAAAAAAAAAAGAAAAAAATTATCGGCTATTCCCAAATAATATTTTAAACAAAATAGGGCTGTGGAGTCAGAGCTATATAAACCGCCTCTTCAAAAGTATGAAAAGATGTCAGGCTGAGTCCTGTATAGAGAAGTCAAGGTATTTTAAACACTCCTTTAAGGAGCATTTGATTCTTGCAAAATGTGTATGAAAGACTTAAGGTCTATATACTGTACCTTGCACTATTTCTATTTAAAAGTTTTAATTTTCACTGTGATTTTTAGGTTCAACCTCAGCACTGAAATATTTTAATTCGAAATCAAAGATTTTTAACTCCAGAAACATTATCCCTCAACACATCTCAATTATCTCCACCAAATTTAAAACCCTTGCTCTAAAGCCCAAATGCCAGCATGTATTCCCTTAAGACCAAATGTACTAACAAGCAGTCTCTGCCATAAACCAATCTCAGCCTAGCGTGACTTGTTTTGAAAGCCAACACTGTCCTCTGGTAAAGAAAAAAACCCTTCCTAGATGCTTTTCCCCTTCCTCCACTGAAACCTCTTCTGCTTTCAACTCCACCCTAAATCCAAAAGTATTTTTTGGCCCAGAGTATCCACAAGAATTGAGATTCCCTCCAATTGGAGAAATGGTGCTCTACAGAAATAAAGAGTATAAAAGCAAATTCTATGATCCCTTTGATTTCCATTCTTACATTTAAAAAAAAAACAAAAAAAAAACACCCCAACTCCCAGTCCCCCTCCCTCCCAACTTTCCAGATGGAAAGTCTTTGAAAGCTAAGGGTTAAAATGGCAGTATCATCTAGGGCACAATGGGCAATATGAGTTATTAACAAAGTTACACTTATGGGGAGTAGTAATCTCTAATCTTGTGTTCATGGCCCTGTAAATTCTTTCACAAAACATTTTCTTCCATAACCAAGACAAAAAAACCTGACCATTGTAGGTTCTCAAACTTGCTACCTCTTCTTTTAGTCAGACTATACCCTGTTGTGCACAGGGTTGCTATGAGTCGGAACTGACTTGCCGGCACCTAACAACACCCCCTCTCTAGTGTTACATTAAATACTCCATCGAAAGCTGGAGCTGGCAACTTATCTCAACATCAGGCAACCAAAATAACTATAAGGAGAGGGATCTTTGCTGTCAGCTCATTTTCCCTATCATCTTATCCCTGCAGTTACCTGACATTATGATACCAATTGCCACTGAGTAGATACCGACTCAGAACAACCCTACAGGACAGACTAGAACTGCCCCAAGGGTTTCCAAGGCTGTAATCTTTAAGGAATAGATTGCCACATCAAACCACCGATCTTTTGGTTAGCAGCCGAGTGCATAACCACTGTGCCACCAGGGCTCCCTGCATTATGATACTGATAATTTAAGTTATGACATCTCCTAAGGCTACCTGCCTTGTAAACTTCAGGCTACTTTGACAACAGATTCTAGGAGTGCTGTAGATGCTGCCACCTGCCCTTGCAAGGAAGTAAAAGACCAGGTGTGTCACTATGTAAGGGCTGCCTAACAACTTTCCCCAGCTTGAACATATCTCAACAAGTTAGTTTCTACCTGTATCAATTCTGAAAGCTTGAAATTTATCATCTCCTTAAAATAAGGGAGGCTTAAACACTGAATGTCCCTCAAAGGTGACCATCTTGCTTTCTTAAACGGAGGTAGCTATCAAATCATTAAAATTGGCAGCATTTGGCATTCTTACATTTTAATTGTAGGAGAAACAAACTATTAAATATTAGATTCCTCAACAGTGCTCCAGCATAAATCTCTCCAACACTGGTCCAATAAATCCACAATACACTTTTGAAACCCAATGGATACATTCAAAGTTTTAAAATGTTATTTAACAAATAACAAGGTCAGTTCTACTGTCAAACTCATTTATTCCAAATCTAACAATCTGATTTAAAGGTGCAGTGCCAAAAAGCTACTAGAGTTGTTCTGGTGGTTATAAACAATATTTAATATTTAAGCAACACAGTCATACTGCTTTAAACTCAGTTGCAGAGATCTACCATTTATTATTATTTTCCTGTGTTAAGAGGATACTTCTTTCAAGGATGGCACTCGATTCCACTTATTTACCTGTCAACAAATACAGAACTGAACTGTTAGCCATAAGCACTTTACAGAGATCCAGAAAACTATTAAAACTATTCAGGAAACAGTTAACATATTGTAACCAGACTCTGAAAGACAAATACACATTCTGAGTCTCACTTGTACAAAGAGAACAGCCATGTCTGTGTGAGTTAAGGTTCTCTAAACGTAACTGCTATATAATGTTTATGACAGACCACTAGAGTGTGCCAGTTTTCCTTATCAGGGAAGAATAAAGGATGTGCTCCTTAAAGAACTGAGGGAGAGGGGGACTACAGGGAATGGTCTGGGCAGAAAAGCTGCCTCAGGTTTTGTGGGAATGCAAATTTCTTGTTACTCTGAAGTAATTCCCAGGGGTTAGAGAATTTTTTCCTTCCTTGAACTCATCTCAAAGCAATATGGACATCTCATAATCCATTCTAAAGCAATAAAAAAAGAAGTCAATTCTCTAAGACCATAATTTACATACACATTGGCCTAGATTTAAAAAAAAAAAAAAAAGTTACATTTGTCTAAATGGCAGATTTAAGAGCTGTATGACCCATTTGGCTAAAAAGAAACCAAATTAGGTGGAACTCAAAAATTTTTTACTAACCAAAGCTCAAGGATAAAAATGGAACACTGGCTAGCTAATTAACTCAATATCTGATAATAATTACTGACAGTTTTAAATGTATATCCAAAATATAACCTCAAGAAGACCAGGAGTATTTCTCCTAAAGAAAGAACAGCTCAAAATGTTTAGAGGCATCATTTGTCTAAATTATGGCAATGTGATTTTCAAAGTGTGTTTATTTAAGGAAAAAGTAATTATAAAAAAACTGAAAATAATGTGCCAATCAAGTTGCAGATTCTAATAACAATCCACATCATCTTAGATTTTTAAGTGTGTGGTTTCACGTTTTAAACGAATTCTATCAAAGAGCTATTTAACATACTTAATCACTTTAACTTTCCATGAAAACCAAATAAAAATCACATTTGAATGATTTATGGTTTTATCTGATTGTTCCAACTGTACACCCAATTACAAGAGGCAGATATCTTCTCTGGGAGTTGCAAGAGTTGTTCTTTCATGAATGCCCTCTTAAGAATAATGAAACCAGCAATCTTTATATATGCACTCATGTGCATATATATGTACTTCAAAAAGCAAAGCGTCATCTCTTCGTCCATTGTTAACTTAATGGTAAGACTGCAATAGAAAAAAAAAAAAGTCAACTTCTACATTTTGTAAATGGAGTTTATTAACTCCTTTCTGTGGCATAAAATAGATGCTTAATAAATGCAAACAGCAAGTCATCTCATTTAATTATCTTGGCACACACTCTCCATAAAAAAAATAAAATAAAATTTTTAGAAGATCTAATAGCAAGAGGAGCCCTGGTGGCACAGTGGTTAAGGGCTCAGCTGCTAACCAAAAGGCTGGCCGTTCAAATCCACCAGCCACTCCCCGGAAACCCTATGGAGCAATTCCACTCTGTCCTACAGGGTTGCTATGAGTTGGAATTGACTCGACGGCAACAGGTTTGGTTTTTTTTTGTTTAATAGCAAGAAGTTGCAATAATGAAAGGAGGAAGAGTTTTGGGGCACTTAATATTGAGATTTTTCCTTTACAGCTGAGGTGGATGTTTGATTAATCTGGTTGGGAATCTGATTCATTATTTTGTGTAAACGAATTTATTTCCCCTAACCAAAACCTTGACTCTGCTCTTGGATACTTACTTGGCTTACCTCACTGAGGAGGTAGGATGTCTTTCTATTAAGTCATATGCCCTAGACAGGCTCCTCAACTAAGACGTCAACCCTACTCCAGCTTCACTGATGGTAAAGCACACAGCATTACATTTAACTGACAATACAGAATAGTGGTATAATCTTGAGCTCAATGCTGCTGAAGATCTAACAAACCTTGGCTGAGAAACACTATGGATAGTTGCCTGAAAGATGGGCTGTATTATACTTTCATTACCCTGGATTCTCTCAATATATACCTTCGTATCAAGCCAGACAGGCAGAAATTGCTTTTACTGAATTGTGCTTTGGTGTGATGCTATAAAGCAATATTGAGAAATGTTATTAAAAACAAAACAAAACAAAAAAAAAACCCACAGTCCAATAAAATGCATTTCAGAGTTTACCTCAATGATGCTGTTGAGGACACTGCTTACTATATTATAAAGTCTTTAGGGATCTTTGGGAAAAGTGTCTATTTCTAGTACCGAGAATACTTAACTTATAGTTTTATCCTTCTAAATGCTTTTCCTGAATTTCTGAAATTTACTCTTATATACCACACCCCCTTTATAAAGTTAAAAAGCTTTCTAATCATCCATCTAAAATCGTAGAGAAACAATCTTTCAGTTGTGCCTATATGACAATTAATGCATATTAAATAACAAATTAAGCACTCACATGGGGGCCACCAGGCATTGGCGGAGCACCAGAAGGTCCTGAAGGCACTTGAAAAGGATTACTGGGAGTGGGGTAGAGTCCTGGTGTGGGATATGATCCTGCAGGGGCAGGATATGGTGCTGGTGGTCCCCAGGTACCTGGTGGAACAGTGCCCCATGGAACAGGCGGTGCAGCCCCTGGAGCTTGGGGAGGAGGAGGAGCAGAATATGGCCCTGGAGATGGATATGGCATATTAGGGGTAGGATACTGCCCTCCCATTCCTGGTGCCCACGGTCCAGAAGACATGGATCCCCATGGACCTAAAGGACCAGCTGCAGCTGGATCCGTGGGTGCACCATAGGGTCTAGGAAGCTCGGGAAAGGGCATATTTGGTGTAGGATATGGCCCTGTGGGGCCAGGGCCTGGCACAGTTGGGGCTGGATAAGGACCACCAGGTGGGGGGCATGATGGTCCAGAAGGAGGAAAGGGTGCTGGGGGTCCTGGAGGCGGTGCAGTGGGAGGCACAGAGGGATACATTCCTGTTGGTGCAGGTCCAAAAGGCACAGTGGAAGGTGTTGCACTTGGTGGGAGTCCAGATGGCACAGAAGGTGGAGCACTTGGGTTATTCCAAGGGTTGGAGGCTGGCCAGCCTTGAGGAGGCTGACCAGGTTTTGTATTGCTAACAGCAGAGGTTTTGGCAGGAGAGTGTTCAGGTAGTGCATCTGCCAACTGGAATACAAAATAGACATATCTTATCTATCTTACCCAGGAACAAGTCATGCCAAACATGATTATAAACCCATATAGCATCTTTCAAAGCTAAATAGTTCAGTTTAAAGAACAACAGAAGTGACGTATTTTTACACAAATAACGCTCGCCTTCTACGTTTGTTTGCCAGCTGCATCCTCCCCCATGAGCTATTTTTGTAAGTGCCACTATGCTAATTTTTTTTTTACGTTTTTGCTGTAAAACAAAAAAATTAGCATAGCACACTTACAAAAATGCCTCGGGGGGACGACGACTGTGTGGCTGGTAAACAAACATAGAAGGCACACTCTACTTGCATAAAAATACAGTAATCACCTTTATAATTTTTTATTTAAGAATTTCTAAAGAAATACCATACAATGCATTTTGAAACACATTATATCTAAATAAACGAAGTCAAATCACTACCAAAATCACATGCCAAAAAACCCCGAAGAACCACAAAAGGTACCTCTTTTAAATTATAAGGCTTATATAGCCCACAGTTAGGAAGTCATTTTTCTTAAGAGCCATAAAACTTATCAAGGATAAATGTATCAACTTACCGAAAATTCATCAGACATTTTCCTAAAAAAAAAAAAATGAAAGAAAGAGAGAAAGAATATTTCAAAACTAGTGTTTTAACATTTCTTATATACTCTTTAAGGAACTTTCTATGTATTCATTGTCTTTACTTCAACAGAATCATAATCATTCAGGTAATATAGTTTTCTTTACATAGGAAAAATTTCCATAATAGCTCATATAGCCCTATCAACTTCATAACTGTACATTATAAAAAAATGATTCATAATTTAGTGCACAACCTCATTTTGGTGGCAGTTTAGGCTGCGTGCATTCTGGCTTGTTTTAAACAATGACACAGTGGATATCTCTGAACATTTATCTTTGCTCAGTTGTGAGACTCTACTACCAGGAAAAAGCACTAGAAGTAGAATTTACAGATTCAACTAGTAAGATTATTTAAATCCATCTAATAAAAATACTGTCCCCCAAAAAGTACATGCTTTTTTCTCTAACTTCTCTTTCACCACTAGATCTTATTAAATTTATAAATCTCTTCTAATATGGTAGATTACTACCATCATATTGTTATTTTGTAGTCTCTGGGTAGTACAAATGGTTAACATGCTCCACTGCTAACCTAAAGGTTGGAGGTTCAAGTCTACCCAGAAGTGCCATGGAAGAAAGGCCTGACAATCTACTTCTGAAAAATTAGCCATCGAAAACTCTATGAAACACAGTTCTACTCTGACACACAAGGGGTTACCGCGAGACAGAACTGATTTGATGGCAACTAGTAAAAACTTATTTTAACTTGCATTTCATTAATTATGGGGAAGGTGGAGCATCTTTTATTATTTAATACCCCATTTATACTTTTTCTGTGAATTCGCTCACGTCCTTTGACCACTTTTACCAAGTCTTTTAACCATTGTAACCTGTTGCCGTCCTCATAGTGACCCTATAGAACAGAGTAGAACCGCCCCATAGGGTGTCCAAGGAGCGCCTGGTGGATTTGAACTGCCAACCTTTTGGTTAGCAGCCAAGCTCTTAACCACTATGCCACCAGGGTTTCCAAGTCTTTTACTGAGGCTTAATTAACATTCAATAAAATATATGGATCTTAAGTCTTCAAGTTAACAAGCTCTGACAATTGTATATGCCCCTGAGAACAAGATACAGAACATTTTCACCCTCCAGAAAGTTTACTTGTGCTCCTTTCCAATCAACTCCTCACACACGCCCTCCAGCAATCACTTTCTGAGTTTTGCTTGTTCTCTGACTTCATATAAGTGGAATAAGACAGTACGTACTTTACTTTTGACGATTTGACTGTTTAGTAGTACATCTTTTTTTCTCACTGCTTTGCAAGATAGTAAGGAAATTAGGCCTGTCTGTCTTATATGAGGCTTGGAGCCCTGGTGGCAAAGTGGTTAAGAGTTCGGCTGTTAACAAGGTGGGCAGTTCGAATCCACCAGCCACTCCTTGGAAACCCTATGGGGCAGTTCTACTCTGTCCGATAGGGTCACTATGAGTCAGAAGCGACTCGATGGCAACAGGTTTTTGTGTCTTACGAAACAAATATTTTTCTGCTGAGTTCCTATTATCTATTGATCTGTTAACTGGTATTTTGGGGTACTACAAACGCTTAGTATCATGTAGTCAAATTTATCATCTTTCCCTACGTGTGGCTTCTGGATTTTGTGATATATTTACAAAGTCATTCCCACTCAAAAGGAGCCCTGGTGGCACAGTGCTGGCTGCTAACTGAAAGGTTGGTGGTTTGAACCCACCAGCCACTCCTCAGGAGAAAAATGTGGCATTCTGCTTCTGCGAAGATTACAGCCTTGGAAACCCGAAGGGGCAGTCAGTTCTATACTGTCCTACAGGGTCACTATGAGTCAGAATCGACTCAATGGCAACGGGTTTGGTTTTGGTTTTCCCACTCAAAGATTACAAAAAAAATTCACCTATACTTTCTTATAGTGTTTTTATTGTTTAACTTTTTTTGTTTAAAATTGTTTAATTCTTCCCCTAAACAATTACAGAATAATTTCTTTTCTCAAAGAATTTGACAAACCACTTATAACACATTCTACTGTCAATATTGACAACTAATGTTTACTGAACATTTATCACAGAACAGGCACCATGTTAAGTACCTTACTTAGGTGCATCCTCTAACACTCCTCAGGGTCCTATGGTGCAAATTTTATTATCATTCCCAGTTTACAGCTAGAGAAAAGGAAGCTTACCAAATTAAGGTCACAGAGCTAGTGACAGGTAGAGAAGGCACAAAAGCTGACTCCAGAGCCTCGACTCTTAAAAACCAGACTACACAGCCTCCATCAGTTCCCACAGGTGTGGTGGACTTTAGTCTTTTTTACTGATCTGCACATTACGATTCTATTTTAATTACAGTAGCTTTATATTTTAACAAATTTAAAGCTAATCACCCTATGATTACTGTTCTTTTCTCAGATTTTCCTAAATCGTCTCCTGTTTATTTTTTCCACACCATTTTATAAAAAATTAAAATAAAATGTATTCTGATTGGAATTGCATCAAATTTACATACCAATTTAGGGGGTATCTGATATATTTAAAGTATCAACTCTTCTCATTCAAGTACAGGTATGTCTTCCTAGTTCCTAAAATTATCATTTATATCACTCAGCAATTTGTTTTCTTGATCAGGTCCTACACATTTTCTGTAAGATAGATTTCTAACTTAAACTTTTTCTTGTGGTTGTAAACAAGCTCTTTTCTTCCATTATATTTTCTAACTGGTTGTTCATATACAGAAAAGGTTTTTAAAATTTTAATATATTACTTTTGTAAGCAGCCACATTACTGAATTATTCTATTCCTAAAAGTTTCTCAGTTAATTCTCTGGGTTTTCCGTGTAAATAATAATAATAGCAGAAAATAATTTTATCTTCTTTTTCTAATATTTATGCCTCTTTTCTCTTTTGCCTCAGCTAGAGCTTAAACCAATAGTGTTAACTAGTGACAGTGAGTGCTGGTCTGGTTCCCAGCTCTCCTGGGAATGTGTCTAGTGTTTAAGTATGATCCTCATTTTTAGTTTGGATTAAAAAAAAATTATATTAAGAAAGTTTCTATTTATGCCTACATTACTATATTTAGGAGCCCTGGTGGTGCAGTGGTAGCTATTCCTATTTTACTAGTTAAAAAAAATAAAAATCAAAGACACTGAATTTTTTCAGAAAACCTTTCAACATCTAATGAACTGATCTCAGTTTTTCTCCTTTGACCTATCAATCGTTAATTATATGAAAAGATTGCTTAATATCAAGCCATCTTGCATTCCTAGAATTTTATTTTTTAGTATAATTTGATTATTACAAAGAATGATAAAGAAAAAGATCATGAAACCTACTAAGTTGCAATAGTTAGGCTTTATATCCCTGCATTCTATTCAGAATACTAAAAAACCACTTCTAATGTATAGCAAATAGAATCATTCACATGTCCAGGTTTATTTACACTAAAACGTCGTATCACACAACAACAGAGAACTCCTAGAACCAACACAAAAACAAAAATTAAAAAAAAAAAAGCTTATCGTAACAAGACACACTACTATATACACGCTGGAGCTGTTTTTAATGGTATTATCAGTGCATGACAAATTTAAAGTATACACAGGACTAACATGCTTTTCAAACAAAGTGAGCCTTTCTGAAAGAGAAAACTGGTTCTGTATCAAAGTTCACTTTAATTCTGGAGCAGAGAATCTACCAAAGTAAACCATTCAATTTCAAATGGTTTTACTATTCAGGTTTTTATTACTCTTTTCTCTCATTTTTCGAAAAATATATATACACTATATACAGTTAACCAGTCATACAAATACATAAAAATGTAAATTATTCCACCAGTTAATAAAAGTTAAACTGATTCACAACTCTGGCTTGAAAATTTTTAAGCTCAAAATCAAATCCTGGAAGATAGAGGAGGTGCCAGAACCTGATAATTAAAATAGTGAAGGCCTGACCAAAGGGATTAGAAATAGGTGACATCCTGTTCTACGGCACTGCTGCAAAGTGACCTGCTCTCCATGCCTAGAATAGACAATGTTCAAGTGGAAGCATTCCAATCTGCTCTTTGGGGGATACACACATTCTAAAAATGGTAAAAAAAACAGTAGGAGATCAGTGTTTCAATGAAAAGAGTTTCAGAACGTAAAAATATCTAGATTTTCCAAAAGTTATTCCAAAAATATTTGAATTATGCTAATTACTATAAGGATAGCATAATCCTGAACTTACAAAAAAGTAAAAATGTTTATAATAAAGAAAGGTTTTCATTTTTTTCTTTTGGAAGAAACTAAAGATATTATTTCCAAAACTTTCCATTACTACTTTATGACAAGATTTACGCATTGTTTGGAAAAGGATTGTACTTTATGAGCAACAAGATTAGTAATTACAAAAAAGCACAAAATTTTGACATATACTAGAAAAGCAAAACATAACATTTCCGTGAACTTCTATGGCATTCAAAGTAAAAATGCGAATTCAATCATCATGAGGTTTAATGCCACAACTTACTAGTGACTATTGACAAGAAATGTTTTAGAGGGCCACTAAACTGTGACAGGGCGTAAGAGTATGGGACTACATGATTGTGAAAAATGGACAACAATCCTTTTGACTGTCTTTTGACAAAGGCAAGCTGCTTAACCAGAGACTATTTTCTCATTTCTGAAACAGTTATAATAACCCCTGACTACTTAAAAGTAACATTTTATAATCTCTAAAGTGCTATAAACATGTTAAGATATTAAGAGAAACTAAGGGAAGTCAGATAGGATTTTTGTGTTGATTTGTTCAGTACTGGGGGAGGGTGATAGTAGTGTATCATACTGAAAATATAGATTTTGAATTAGAGTACATATATATTTTTTCCAATACTAGCTCATTTATCAGGTACTTTTTTTTTTTTTAACATTTGGACAACTCAAGAAATCAGGGTTTTAAAGTTTCTGAACATTTTAATTCTCTTCAAAATATTTAATTTCAAAAATTCAATTTTTCAACAATCTTATGTCAGCCACATTTTAAACACTTATTTAGATGCTGGAGCCTGGTGGCGCAGTGGTTAAGAGCTTGGCTGCTAACCAAAAGGTCGGCAGTTCAAATCCACCAGCCGCTCCTTGGAAACCCTATGGGACAGTTCTACTCTGTCCTACAGGGTCGCCAGGAGTCAGAATCGACTTGAAGCAATGGGTTTGGTGGGGTTTTTTTTTTTTTTAATTTAGATGCTAAGGAGCCCAGGTGGGGCAGAGGTTAAGCACTCCGCTACTAACCAAAAGACTGGCAGGCAGTTCAAACTCACCAGGCCACTCCACGGGAGAAAGATGTGGCAATCTGCTTCCATAAAGATTACAGCCTTCGTAACCCTACTCTATCTTATAGGGTAACCATTAGTTGGAATCTGACTCAATGGGCACAGAGTTTAGATACTACTGAAATTATATGTGCCAGGCACTGTGTTGGGCTCTGGGGAAAACAACCGTATTTCATGGAGCAAATCCTTAAGGAATTCAGTCTAGTGGAAAACTACCACTAAACAGCAATAATATTACCTGGGGTAAGCACAGGACATTATGCAAATACTTGAAAACAAAACCAAAACTCGTTACAGACTAGTTGATTCCTACTCAAACCAATCTTATAAGACATAGTAGAACTGCCTCATAGAGTTTCCAAGGAGCAGCTGGTGAATCTGAACGGCCAATCTTTTTGGTTGGAAGCCGAGCTCTTAACCACTGTGCCACCAGGGTTCCTGGGAGTACCTCAGAAAGGCCCGTAAGGAGTTAAGGAAGGGTTATCGGGGCAAGGATTCCTGAGAAGTAGTGCCTCTGCAGTCTAGATGAGCTGGTGTAGGTGGTGGGATGGGACCTAGGGAAAGGAGAGCAGTTTGTGCAAAAGCTGTGAAGGAGGCAAGAGAACTTTTAAAGTGCAAGCAGTTCAGATTGGCTGGAATATAGTGAGCGGGAAGAGATATGAAAGTCTCAGCAGAGAGATGTTAGACCAGGGTCTGAATCCTATTCAGTCATTACTAAGAACAGACCCATAACACTGTGAGGGACTAAATGGGATTTTGTAAATCAAGTACCCACAACAGTGCCTGGAAAATAGTCGGTGGGCACAAATACCAAATTCTTTAGTCTGTCTTTGTATACTGGCATATGGTTAAGAGCGAAGGTTGAAAGTATGACTGCCTAGATAAACCTGCAGCTCTTCCCTTCCAAACTATAGAAGCAAAAAGAAGATACGAATAGCATCCACCTCCCAGATTTACGGTGAGACTTATATATTAGGTAAACACCGTTAGTCACTGCCTGACAGCAGAAACTCAACAAAGGTCACTATTATAGGTCCACAAACCCTCACTGCAGTTCTAAATCTAAAAACCTCTGAAAACTAAATAAACTTTCCCAAGTTTGGCACAAAACTTTTTTGGTGTCAAAATCTGACCTGAAGCTATTTATGTTGTTGTTAAGTGCCAACAAGTCGGTTTCCACTTACAGCAACCCTATGTACAACATAACAAAACAGTGCCCGGTCCTGCGCCACTCTCACAACCATTGCTATGTCTGAGCCCACTGATGCAGCTACTGAGTCAACCTATCTTGTTGAAGATCTTCCTCTTTTTCGCTGACCCTCTCCTTTACCAAGTATGACATCTTTCTCCAGGGACTGATTCCTCCTGATAACATGTCCAAAGTACCTGAGATGAAGTCTCACCATCCTCACTTCTAAGGAGCA